ATATATTTAAAATAAAACTGAACAACACGTTTCAGAGTATACTAGTTATCTGTGTTTCTTATATGGTCAGAGGTATTACTGTCACAAATAACACCGCTTTCTCAAGAGGAGGTCAGTTGATTGTAGTTGAAGAGATTGAGTTTTGGTTTGCTGATGCTCTGAAACAAAGACTACAGGAAACGGGCAAAAAGAGAATTCCTAGTTTACTGTTAAGGAACTCTGGTTATGAGTTGAGTCGGGTTGCTAACTTCATGGTCAGCAGTTCGAAACTACCAGCTGTTCTGTGGGAGAAAGATAAGGCTTTCTGCTCCCATAAAGATTTACAGCCTTGGAAACCCTATGCAGGGTTGCTGTGAGTCAGAACCGACTCCACGGCACACCACCACCACCAACAGTTTACTGTTAAAATGATGATTTGCTTAGTTCTGGAGCTCTGGTAGTGTAGTGGTTACGAATCGGGCTGCTAACCGCAAGGTCAGCAGTTGGAAACTACCAGCTGCTCCTCAGGAGAAAGATGACACTTTCTGTTCCCGTAAAAATTTACAGCCTCAGAAACCCTGTTCAGGGTCACTATGGGTCAGAACTCACTCAATGGCACTTAACAACAACAACTTCTAGGTATTTTCTGACAAGTTCACTGCTTCCAGTTAGTAACATTCTGTTTATCTTCAGCCCCTTGTATTGACTTTCTCTGTGTTTATATTATTGAAATTTTAAAGGTATTACCAACTAATTGTTCAGGAGTCCTGGTGTGGTGCTGTGGATTAATACACCAGACTGCAAAGCTGTTTAAACTGCAAGGTTTGTGGTTCTTGCTCCTTGGAAACCCTATACAGGATTGCTGTGGGTCGGAACTGACTCGACAGCACTTAACAACAACAACAACTAGTTGTTCAAGTCACCAGTACTATATTAGCCAAGTTCTACACCCTAAGGGTATAACCGAGTAGATAAATGCCGTATTTCATAGATTCTAAAGCATCCATATATTCTTCATATTTTAATGTCGCTTGTAATTGATAGTCCTGATATGGTATTGTGGGTTAATGCACTGGACCGCAAGGTTGATTTGAACCGCAAAGTCGGTGGTTCAAGCTCATAAACCACTCCTCAGAAGCCCTATACACGGTTGCTATTAGTTGGAACCAACTCAACAACACTTAACAATTGATAGCTTGCTACAAGGGCACTGTTGTTTTGTTTGTTTCTTTCTCTTGTTTATTGGCACATAAAATAATGATATAGCTTATAATAAATAGATGAGAATGTGGCTCTACAGGATAAGCACTGGACTGCTGACCTCAAGGTCAGCAGTTCAGACTCACCAGCTGCTCCTAGGAAACCCTATGCAGAATTGACATGAGCCAAAACCAACTCAAATGGTGCTTACCAGAAATAGCAATCTTAGATTCAATTAAATGCTGTAATCCAAGGGGCAAAAGGGCACTAAAATCCTTTAATCTAGATCAGATGGTAAAGCAGAGAAATCTAATAATCAACTCCTGGTACCTGTGGCATAATAGGGACTTTACCATGCTGTAAATTGAATACGTAAGTGATTTCTCAACTTTGCTTAAGAACAGTTTCTTCTTGGATTCTTTTTTCACAAATGAAAAAGAGAAAGGCAGAGGCAAAAAAAAAAAAAATTTTAATTAATTAATCTTTGCTATGCGTTTTTCATTTCCAGAGAAGGGGTTTTGCTTTAAGCGTATACAGGTATGTGTGTTTATCTCATTGTGTGAAGAATCTCTTTCCCTCCCATGGTATGGACAAGCTGGTCAGTCTGTATGCTATATCAGTACACAAGACCAGTTACTGGTCTACTCATAATCTGGATTCACATTTCAGTGGGGCAGAAAATGGAGCTTCCATAACTTTGGGGGGAAATGATATTTTATAGCTTACCATATCTTTCTTTGAAAACTAGGAGTTGAATTTTATTAAGCTTGGTAAAGATCCTGAAGACCTTAGGAAACAAGATTTGAAGTTACTTTCCCACCAGATCTGAGTGCTTGTCCTTGTGAACAGAGTACCCCAAGAACCCCTTGCCTCAGTGCATTACTTACTTATTGGCATGACATTTCAGGCTAAAGGGCTGAAAGGAAAAGTTAACCTATTTTCACTGCAGTTACTTAAAAGCAAAAGCAGGCTCTTTTGCATTATGTTGTTGTTACATGCTATGGAGTCAGTTCCTACTATAGCTACCCTGTATAGGGTTTCCAAAGCGCAGCTGATGGGTTTGAACTGCTGACCTTGCAGTTCGAAGTCCAATGTGATCCTGCAGTGCCACATCAGAAGTCCATTTTATATTTTGACCAAGAGTTAATACTAGTGTTGGACTCTGTCCTTAAGTATGGCATTTAGCAATGGCAGGAATTGATTTACAAACTGTAAAACAAAGTAAAAACCCATGGCTTGTATTTCTTAAATATCTTTACTCTATCATGTCATAATAATACACTAAGGGATTCACCCAACTGATTGCGTACATGTTTTATTGCTTTATGTTAAGGACTCTGAAAAGATACTAAGAATCTTGATACCGTGCTAGGTAGAAATAGGAATTTAATCACCAGCAAAAATTATTTCTAATACTTTCCCATAAAGAAAATCCTGCATTTTAGTTAGTTTATTGTTGGTATAGTATGTGTTTATGTTAAACTTGTCTTGCGTATTTAATGAAGTGTATGGGTTTTTGAACCTTTATAAAACATTAAAAAGAATTGTGGCCTAAGGAAATACTTTGTTTTTCACAATATACTTTAACATTTAGGAGAGAAATGTCTTCAGTGAATATTGGAAAGAAAATATCTTTAAAGAGTACTGAAAATAGAGTATCTTTGAAGAGTATTGGAAGTAAAGATACACTAACAAATCTACAGTCTAAGCTTTTGTCATCGTCCTTCAAAGAAAGCACAGGTAATAGCCTTTCTTTTATTTAATTATTAACTGCAAATTCCGACTCAACTTTCTTCCTCCATGACGTGTCAGGGAATGTTGACAGCTCTGTAGTTCTACAGTTGGCCATGAGAATCAGTGATTTTTCACATTTGTGTACCAAGTGATTCTAATAAGCAGCCAAGTATGGGATCTATGGTGTACATTCCATAAGATGCATAATAATTCACATCTGCCATATGGTATTCAATATTAGGATGAATTGAAATATCTATGAAAGCATTAATAAGTAATTTTCATGCATTCAGCTACTATTTATTGAATACCAAATACTGGTTTAGAAGCTGTTGATAAAGTAGTTACAAATTGGCAAGGTCCTTGCCTTTATTGAAGTTTTCAATCTATTACAAACCAATAATCAATGTCTTAGTTAGCTAGTGCTGCTATAACAGAGCTATGCACAGATAGATGGATGGCTTTAACAAACAGAAATGTATTGTGTCACAGTTTGGGAGGCTGCAAGGCTGAGTTCAGGGTTTCAGCTCTAGGGGAAAGCTTTCACTATGTTGGCCCTGGATGAGGGTCCTTGTGTCATTGGAGGTGCTGCTGCTGGGCAGTCTGCATGTGTCCTGGCATCTGTCTTCCCCCATCTCTGCTTGCTAGCTTGCTTGCTTAATCTCTTTTATATCTCAAAAGAGTTTGATGTACGACACACTTCACACTAATACTGTCTCATTAACATAACAAAGAAAACCTATTCCCCAAAAGGATTATAACCACTATAGAGTTTAGGATTTACAATACATAAGGGGGCTTCAAAAAGTTTGTGGGAAAATTCCATTGTCTTTTTTGGGGGGAGGGACGGATTGGATACAGTATGCTTTATTGATTTCTAAGCCCTTTCCCCTCTCCAGGGCGTCTGGATGGAAACTGTGTTGGGGACTGGAGCTTCTCAGTGTGTTGTGGGATTGAGTTGGAGTAAAGATTCCCCACAGCTGAGGGTCTCTCTTCCTCTAGTGCTGTTGCTAGGGCTAGTGGTCCAAGTTCATTGTCATACCAGGAAATTAGCTTGATGAAATGGTCATTGAGGGTAATGTCAGCCCCAGCATCAAAGGTGGAAGAGTGGGTGTCACTGTTAAAAGTCACAGGAGATGACCTGATCTTCAGTGAAACCCAGAATGCCTTTTATGGGACCATTTCCCAGAGGGGTCATCCACAGTCTTCTGAGTGGCAGTGATGGCATGATTGTGGTCGTGAGTCCCTCCATGATACCAGAGTTGTCATGGGTGACCTTGGCCAGGAGGGGCAAACAGTTGGTGGTATAGGAGGCATTGCTGACAATCTTGAGGAAGTTGTCAGACTTCACACCTATCACAAGCGTGGGGGCATCAGCAGAAGGGGCAGAAATGGTGACCTTTTGGCACCACCCTTCAGGTGAGCCCCAGCCTTCTCCAAGGTTGTGAAGACACTTGTGGACTCTACATACTCAGCACCAGCATCACCCCACTTGATGTTGGCGGAATCTCACTCCTAGAAGATAGAGATGGGCTTCCCATTGATGACAAGCTTTCTGTTCTGAGCCTTGACACTGCCATTGAACTTGCCATGGGTGGAACCATACTAGAATATGTAGACCACATGGTTGAGGTCAATGGAGGTGTCAGTGATGGCAACAGCTTTCACTCTGCCATAGTTAACAGCAGCCCTGGTGACCAGGTACCCAATATGGTCAAATTCATTGACTCTGACCTTTACTAGCCTGTCTCAGAGATGCAACTAAGCTTATAAGAGATATGCTGCCTGTCTAACAGGGAGGAGCAGAGAGTCTCCATTCTCTTCATTTCATTTTCCACCAACTTTTTTGGAGTTCCTTTATATTTGGGGGGGAGGGGGCATAGTCCAATCCAAACAACAAATGAACAGAAAATAAGAACAAATAGATAATTTATAGGTTGTAATGGATACTATAATATAAGTAAAGGACTCTTGGGAAGAAGACTACTTTAAATTTGTGAACTGTGTGAATAGGTTTTCATGGCATCACAGAACTTCCTGATTCCCTATTATGACCTTCCCCTGATGACACTGGTGTGATGAATCAGTGAACAGACTAAGTACATACCAGACAATCAGGATGGTTGTAAGCTGATGGACACTGAAAATAAAACAGAAGCAGGTAGATAGCCCAAATGGCCCAGCATCCCTTTCTTGGAATTAGTTGATATCCCTTTTCATGGTAGCAGGTTTTGTTTTGTTTTTCTTTTTAAGTTTTTATTGTGATAGTTTACATGGGGGAACATTAGCTTTACATTCATCCTATTGTATTGCAATGATTACAATTCCCTCCATGCATCATCAAACAACCAAAGGGTATACCTTGCAAGCCTGCCCCCTAGCTGTCAGCACACAGCCCCTCTCTCTCCCTGAGTCCAGAGTCCCCAGCTGCACCATCTCTCCAAGTCATCATCTCTGCCTCCATCTCTGGTGTCACTGCTTCTCTGGATAGGGTCCCGCACTCCTCTCTTCTCCCTTGATGGTCCCAGGGAGCTCCACTACTGGACTGCAAAATCAACCATTCACCTCCTTTTTTTTTACAAAACATCTTCCTTTACATTTGCAACACTCACTATCAGTCTTGATAGCAATTATTTACTATTGAACCACAAGAGTCTTATCCGTATCTCCTTTCACAAGCCCTGTCCAAACAGGTTGGAAACCACTCATTGGAGATTCTACCTTCCTCTGCACCCTCTGGAACTAGGCTCCCTCTGGAAATCTTGTTAGCCAGTCACTTCTTGCCTTTGTATTCCCCCCCCATTTTGGGTAGCCAGTGTCGTAAGTTGCCCATCCCTGTCAATCGTGCATACCGAGGGGATAGAAATGATCCTTGCTGTAACAATTTGTTCCTTCTTTTGAGCTACTACATCCATAAGTATAGGTCAAGTTCATCAAATTGTAGTGGATTACTGGTTTTTTTCCTCCTTTTCTAGTTGAATTCTGATCATCCAGCCATTGAAGTCAGGTCAAGTGGGTACTATCCGCAAGTATGGGTGTTCTTGGGCATCTCCCCTCACTTCATATCAGCTGGATGCTTTAATCTCCACTCTAGTCCTCTGTAGCTATGTCCCTGTGTCTAGGCCCAGGAGTCCCCAGGTCTTGCCATACTGCTGGCCAACCAGGTCTCACACCGGGTGACAGGAGTCTGTTGAATGTGGTCATACTTAGCTCACAACTTCATTGCTGTTTTCCCCCCACTTTCCCTTATTGGTGACCAACATGGTCACCAGCAAGACCACATGCCTGCTCTGCTCGTGTGTTCCTCTGAGTCTTAGTCTTGGAAGGGGGTTCAGGGTAACAGTTTTAGAGTATTACCTATAATCAGTATTGCATTTGTAGAGTATCACCTTTAGAGTTAGGAGTTTTTCCATTATTTTGTACTGTGTTTTCTTAACATTGTCATCTGTCTAGCTCTCCAAGATTTTCAAATTTCCTTCTTAACACAGATGTTCATACATCATTTAGAGTAGCTCATTGCCACACTCACATCAGAGAGGGACTCTCACAAGATTTTCCAGGACCTCAAAATCCTATAAGAAAAGGGTGGGTGTAACATAAGTTCTCTTTGAACCTGTGAGACCTCTATAAGCCGAAGGAATGAGTAAGCTCACCCAACAGATCAATGCACCTCAAATAAATGATTTTATGAGATACCATTTTTTTTAAAGGATTGTTGTTGTTGTTGTTATGTGCTGTGGAGTCGGTTCCGACTCATAGCGACCCTGCACAGGGTTTCCGAGGCTGTTAATCTTTA